CAAACAGCATTTCAGCTCATCAAAGGGCACAACTAAGGTGTATTTCAAAATGTGCATGACAGAAAGGAAAAAATGCTTTTTTGGAAATGATATTATAAACAGGTTTTTGCATCAACTTTTTTGTTGGCAATTAGGTACTAATTAAGCATCATACTTATTGATGCTTATTGAAATTGAGCTCATACTTTAATTTTCTGTACTTTCTTTTAAAGATGAAAATTGAAGGAAGTGACTGTTCTGGTCACCTGATAGCACAGCTCCCAGAAGGATTTCTGAGGTACAGGATGAATATGTACCATATGCCCAGGTAGGCAGGAGACATCCACAAAACAGCAGTTCATATCTAATAATAACCAAACAAACCAAAAAGATATTCTGAGGGCATAGCAATAAAACTCCCTGATGTCCAGACCAACCTCCATAGGCTGAGGCTGGTTTTTATGTACCTAAATATGTAAATCTTGGTTTACTGAGATTTTGAAATCATCTAAGCAGGTCAGGCAAGATCTCCAGCTGGCTCAAGACAGATTGTCCCAAAGGTGACGGTGCCCATGCCAACAAACACCTGCCTGCAGAACTCTACAGAGGCTTCTGCACCCTACAGACAGGAAGAGCTGACATGTCCAGCTTGCCACAGCCTCGGGGAGGGAGAACCAAAGGAGCAGAAAGCAGATTTTCACTTTTGCAGCCTTTTCTCTGCTTGTCCTCCCCCATTTTTGTGAAGTTGGCTGATATGTCCTATTGACAATGGAGCAGCTGAACTAACACTGACATTGAAACTTATTTTGCTTGTCAAAGCCATCAAAACAGGGAATTTTGAAAGTGATAAATGGTGGAGTGCTTAAATATTTTCAATACCTTGTGGCTAGTTTCACCAATAAATGGCATTTTGTAAATGCAGACAAAAAAATTGTTGCAACAACATCCACAAGAAAATTTCCTTTCAGGTAAAGAATATCTGGCATCTCCTAGTGAATATCTCTGAGAAAGTGTGTGACAGAGCTGGAACAGGAACCCATGGCTCCCTCCTGTAAATCAGTGCTTGGTCACATTTCCCATGGTTCTTCAATACTTGTAACCTTCCTCTCTTACCTGTCTGGACACACAGTTCAGCTGCAGTAGGAGGGTGGTTTGGTGAGGTTTTTAGCTTTGGCAGTTCCTTGCCAAAACAGCAACTTGCTCAAAGCTCTCATAGCTGAACCTATACCCTCATCTGTCAAAATATTTCAATTTATAGTATGTTTACCCAAGTAATCAGCCATGTTAAAACTGTACCTAAATTAGTACCAGAACAGGAGGTTAGCATGGCCCTTTGATTTTATGTTGTCCCCAGAGTAATTAGCCCTGATGAAGGCTCATTAGCTACAGCACACAGCCACACTAATGCAGCTGCACAGCTTTGAGGATCCCACTAAACACTAAATGCTTCAGATGGTACTGTGACTACTATGTGGTATTAGTTTAGGGTTCCTGGGCATGACAATTCTGCCTTACTTGCCTCTTGCATTGTCCTACTTCTCTGATTCCATTCCACTACACATTATTATTTATTTTCTGATCCCTGAGTCATCCCTGCCCCTAATTCATCATCCCTTGCCAGTGTTAACTACAAATCTTTCACATTTAGTGGACTCTTGCAAGTAGTTTCATACATACTCATGCCAATCAAAAGTGCACAGGGCACATCTGATGGCTGAACTCAATCAAAAAGCAGACATATCTTGGGAGATAGTCCTGATATGCAGATCAAACCCTTGGGATTTCAAGTAAATGCATCCCATTCTCTGCATTTTTGTCGTGCACAAGTTGCAGAATTGCACTTTATCTTCCTAAGTTTTGTTTGTGATTGTTTTAAAAGAAAGCTAACAGTCTCCTCATTGCCAAACCAGTCTAGACAATGCCTTGCCCATAGGCAAGCCTTGCCTACAGGCTATGTCTAGCCTTGCTCTGTCCCTCCATATCATTCCATTTACAGTGGATGGGAAAGAACCAAAGAGGAATACCTGTCTATATCTTACACCAGTTTCTGCTTTTCTCTCTTCTCGCATCCTTCTTTTATTCTGATGTTCCCCAAGCATGTACAACAAATGCCTCGCATTTCTTCAGTAAAACCACCTGAAGCAACAAAGCTACAAAGAGTGATGCCTATCCCAGCTCTGAATGTGTCTTTAGATTTATCTAATGCTTTTTCTTTCAATCTGGTGCCATAATGATGTAACCCACACCTTTACATACACAAAAGTTGGCAGGGAAGGGGGAACATCGGTCATTGCAGTGCAGCTGAACCTTAGACCTCTCTGTCACTAATTCTGCAGGAGCTTGAATTTGTTTCTGAGTTTCGTGCTTATGTGTAGGGGGATACAGTATGGGTATAAATGAAGGTGGTACAGAATGTAACCTTATCCCCTAAAGAGTTGCAGCTGAGCCAATTACTAAAGATTAGGAGCAGGCCTGATCTTAACAGGCCACACCTGTAGCCAATAAGAACAGTGGTATAAAAGAGTGGATTGGTGGGCTCTGGAGTTAGATGGCTGCTGCAAGGACCAGGAACAGTCAGTGCTTAGAGGAGCTGCCTGTGAGAAACATTGAGGAGGTATGAAACTCTGGTGATATGGAATCCTTGCACTATCATTATGATAGAACTCTTGATATATAGGACAACACTTAAGGACACTGTCCTAAATGCAGTCATATAATCAGAGAAGCCTAGAATGGTTTGGACTGGAAGGGACCTTTAAATACCATCTAGCTCCAACCCCCTGCTATGGACAGGGAACCTTCCACTAGACCAGTTTGCTCAGAGCCCCATCCAGCCTGGCCTTGAACATTCCCAGGGATGGGAAGTCTACAACCTCTCAGGTTAACCTATACAGTGTCTTACCACTCTCATGGAAAAACTTCCTTCCTCCTATTTTATCTAATCCTAATCTCTTTCAGTTTAAAGCCATCACCCCTTGTCCTATTATTACATGCTCTATGCAGAGTCCCCCTCTGGCTCTCTTGTAGAGCCCCTCTAGGCACTGAAGGGCTGCTGGAAAATCTCACTGGAGCCTTCTCTTCTCCAGGCTGACTCTCCTGCCTCAGCCTATACTCACAGGAGAGTGGCCCTCCTTTGGACTGGTATTCCTTGCTACTCAAATAGTTCCTTATTTTGGGTGTTTGAAGTTCTTCACTACGGTTTTTTGTGATACAGGGTAACAAAAAGTTCAAAAGGTAACTTTGAAATCCTTTGTGGAATTGTTTTCATTATCATTCTCAAATTCTGCTAAACACAATGATAGTGCAACATGTTGAGGGCATTGCAGGATGCGTCCCTCAATAGCTGGTAAAAGACATTTTAGAGAAGCTCATGATCTGATAAAGTTCTTATCATTGTTCAAGACAGGGAAGAACTTGGCTAAAGGAACACCCAAATTACGCAAGCTCACCTTGCCACCCCCATAGCCAGGCACTTTTTTTGTCCTGGGAATGAGAACTGGCACTTTTCCAGGAAGGTGTGTCGGAGGTAGGTGAACGGGCCCTGAAGTGTCCTATTGTGTTGTACCAATCTTTCTGGAGCCCAAAGGCGTGTCCCTGCCTTTATAAACACCGCGCTGCTCCTGCAGGAGCTCCGGCTCTTCTGGAGGAGGGAATTGCACCAGGAGCTGTGCTTGGGTGTCCCCAGCCCTCTGCCAGGTATGCCCTTCACTTATCTTCCTTTTGCACTGTCCCCCTTGCAGCAGAAGGTTTCTGTGAAGTCCTTACCCATTTTAATGTTGCTGTTTGCTGTGCTTGCAACAGAACTGTGAATGCCACGTGAGGTTTCCTAAAGAGGGGTTCATGGAATGAAGATTTGTGCATAGTACAAGGCATGGAGCAAGTTTAGTAAGGATTAAGTACAGCCTGCTCATAGAAGCTGCTCCCTGTGTATTCTACTTTCTAACTTCAATTACATGAATTTAGATTACTTAGATACTTAGGTTATTTAGATATTTGCAGATAACTGAATGTTGAAGCAGATTCTTTTGTGCAGCCTGGCTGCACATTCATTTCTGCTTTCTAACACAAAAACTTGCCTACAGAGATAACTATGATGGAAACATCTGAAAAATACATTTAGGGTTTTAATCATCAAAATGCCAGGTTTAAACCCCTCTTTGATCCTGAAAGCAGCTTTATGAAGGCAAACACCTACAGAAATAAGCATGCTCTGTGCAGATGCAGGGATCACCTTGATAATAATTTGCTAACTAGCTGCATTTCAGAACTGAAGTTGCACATTTATCCCTGGAATTTAGTGGCTTTAAATACAGCCCAGTACACTGCAGGTTATCTTCAACATCAAAAAGGCAGTTCTGTTTACCTAGCAGTCAAGGTGGAAAAGAATGCATTCATAGTTTTTGCTGTCTGGAAAGACAACCATTACCAACAGAGACAACCATTTTTTTTTCAGAGCAAATTTGAAATACTGGCATAACCAGTGAATTACAAGGATTTTCAGGATGTCTATTAAATACTTTTCCTCAACTTGAACCAAACAGTTTCCTTTCTGTCTGGCATATTTTTGAACAATAGCCAGAGGTTGGAGTCAAAAATGCTTATGAGTCATTTTACAAAATGGGAGATTGTGGGAACAACTGCTTTATTGTTATAATTTAAGATCTCCATCTGAGATTGACAAATCCAAGGTCCAAATTTCTTCTCTGACTGCAGAAAAGATTTTAATTAAGGTAGCTCAGTCACTGGGCAGTAACGTGTCCTGGCAGCGATTCTTCTGTTCCTCATTGCATAGATAACAAAGTAACTGAAAGTTACTCCACAACCTCTTACAAGGGTAATTCATAATGGTATTTAGACCAGGAATTATTCACAGAAAGGACAGATCATTTTGCTGAGAACATCACTTTAGTAGGTACCAAAGTGCAGTACGATGCCATGTCTGAAAAACTTCAACTGTCAAATGTAACACAGCATTAAGTGAAAAGGTTTTTTATTGTTTTGTTTCTTTTTGAAGGCAAATACCAAGCAGGACAGAGACCATGAGGATCAAAAGCTTTGGACTCCTTTGTGTGTTGATGCTGGTCTCCCAGATGCTCCTAGCCAACTGTGAGAGACAGAAGGAGAGAAAAAAGGGAAGACAAGGCATAGAACATGGTGGGAAAAAACAAAAGGAATTTAAACAAGGAAATGAAAAGGGGCAGAAGTCAAAAGGAGGAAAATCATCTCCTAAAGGCAAGTTTGAAACCAAGGAAAATGCTGAGTGCACCTGGTCAGTGATGGACTCAAATGCTGTTACTGTGCACGTGCAGTGCAAGCAGGGGGACAGTGAGTTCTGGTGTGAGTTCTCTGGAGACCCTTCCAGCTGTGCACAGTATGCAGCAAACCAGAAATCCTACTGGAAACAAGTCTCCAGATCTCTAAAGAAGCAGAAGCAGATTTGTCAAGACCCCAAAAGTGTATTAAAATCTAAATTATGCAGGAGAGGCCCACAAAGTGCTCACCTCAGGTTGACTCACTCAAGCCTACTAACAGCAGAGGGTCCTGCCAAAGAGAACACAATGCATCACACAAAAGAAGTTGTTCAGACTCCAGCAGATGCCTCTGTGACTGAAAAAAGGCTAGAACAAAGTCCTCAAGACTGTGTGGAAGATGTAGATTACATTGACCAGAAAAAGGTGGCTGAGGAATACTGTCCAGAAGGTTTGCTTTCCTTCTGCAACTTCTTCATCACAATGGTCCAAGACAAACGATGCTGAGGAGGTGTTTCTAAAGCTCTGAATCATGAAAGCCTGGTCTCTTTTAAGTTACTGCAAACCATTCCAGATTTTATTCTCATGTTTTATAGTGTATATAAGCAAGAAGGAATATATTTTTCTGATTTTGTATATACACAACAGACTAACACATTTGAAGATGTTCTAGATGCTATGTGCCCACAGATTGCTTCCCAATGGATGTGTTACCAGTGGATGTTACATACTCTGTGCAGAAGTGTATCAGTCATCCCTTGGCCCTCTTTGAGCTGTGCTAGTCAAAGTGATGAATTCAGTGCCATGCACTTCTTGGTTATGTACCATGCTTTTGACCTAAAAATTATTAAGAAAAATAAATTTCAAAATACATTAAAAGTATTTCCTCTCTCTGTGTTTTACTAGGTTTCTCTATAAGTGAAATGTATCTTAGTCAAAGGAGAATCTTCCACAATATCTACATGAAGTGTTGTTTATAAAGTAGTTTTAAAAATACTTCTGCAGCTTTGCAGACTTCAGCTTTTGATAGTGAGCTACATTATCATTAGATTTTCATCATTGTAGTAATGAAGGGCAACAAAATTTTCTGATTTGTCAATAAGTCTGCAAATCTGCAGTTTTTAATCCCACCAAAGGATGTCAAAACACTTTGACAACACCAATTCCCTCTTTTTTCCTGCAGTCTGAAACACATTGTGCAAACTTTCTGGTAGGTAAACAGAGACACAGGGCTAGAATGAGTTATACAGGTTTGTACACAGGCCCAGGACTGGATCCCTTACTCAACAAATAAAGAGCTCATATTCAACACTGCCTGCAGGATTTTTTGAAATTCCACATTCTTTTATTTTTCTGTATGGAGGACACTAATATTCTTCTGTTCATTAAATTTCATCTGTGTTAAAAAAACACAAACAAAAACCCACAACATAAAAACCCCTCACAAAATTCCAAGAACAAAGATTTTAGAAAATGTAAAGCTAAATAATGACAACTGATCTTTGCTAATTTTTGAAAATTCAGCTGGAAGAACTGTAAAATACAACTTACACTTTTCTTAAATACAGCTTACACTTTTTTTGTGGATCTGAGCACAGATGTATGGTCTTCTGCTAGTGATCCACTTGAGGAAACTTGAAATTTAATGAAAAACAGTTTCCCTGATAATGTCTAGCAAATTAGACTAGTATTTCTGTCTCTTGAGAAAATATAGCCTGTTTCCTTCTGTTAATATGTCATTGCTAGAATATTTTTAAGATGGGTAGCTATGAGTTGAATGTGGGATGCTGCCATTAGTCAGACAAACTGTGTTTGAGAAGGATTCAGATGTATTTCACCAAGTAAAAATGGCAAAAAAAAAGAGATTCTTCTTACTAAAGTTGTAGTCTCTGCATGCACCTGTGGAAACACTGGCTGTTACCAGGCCATGCAGGATAAATTTGGTTGGACTGGTGCCCACAGCAGAGCACAATTCCAGTAAAAAGGGGCATCAACACTAATACCTGTGAGGCTGGAAGACACATCCATTTCGGTGCCAAGTAGGGTGTGAAAACAGCTACCAGCTCTTTATGACTAAGGGAGATACATAAATGCTGAAAGGGCAGGCAAATTGCAGCTGCTAGACACTTTGTGCCTTCACATGAGGAGATGATTGAGATTAGAAAGTCAAAAATGCAGAGGAGGTATTAGAGCTTTATTTGGCCCAAGCAATCATACATACTACAGTAATTAATTATTAATGTCTACTCTGGTATACAGACACCTTTCTATTAGTTCCAGGTTATAGCCAGAGCACTGGGCAGGCCTGACTTAAGAGGCTTACTTGCTCCAGCTATTTTGGAAAACATCCAATCCTACCTCCCCTTAGCTTCTGTTACTCTGGGGAGCACTGAGGTGAGGACTTTGTTTTCTGAAGCAGATCACTCTGCTCTCCCTGTGGCTGCCAGCCAGGCAGGCACACTGGGCCACTGACACATCCCAGAGCAAATTCCAGCCAGGGATTCCAGAGCTGTGAGCTCCATCTCCGTGAGCAGGACTGTCAGCACCTGGAGCCATGTGCTGGAGTTGCACGTTCCTCCCCAGGGATGCTCTACATTTCTTCTGCCTCATCTTCTTGATTCCATTCAGGGCTGACTTTTATCTCCACGTGCAGCTCTTTGCAGGAGGAAAACATCATGCTCATTCTCAGCAGTTCATGGGTGCATTTCACCTTCAGTGAAACCTTCCAGCAGTTGTGCAAGGACAGTGTGGAGCACCAGCAGAAAAGGGAGATCTCTGTGCAGCCTTTTTCCTCAGAAGGTGGGCTCTAGTGAGAGTGAACATCTCAACACTGTCTCAGTATGGAATTTTTTCCTCAATGAGAGTGTAGTTTTGAGTGTTTTTCAGAAGAGTGCATTTCAGAATAGCGGGGTCTGAGGCAAATATATCTGGAGTCCAACTTCATTACAGCCTGTTCTATAATTGTACTGATCCCAACTCTGTGGCTAAGAGGGTCTAAGGTCTCATTGCATCTACCAAGCCTTGTGTTTTTTCAGCCAACATCCACAAGGCAATCACTTGACAGCAATCACATATGAGTCTTTCTTTGGGGCATTTAGAGAGTCACTGAAATCAGTATGACTTTGCAGATTGTGGAGTCAAGCTAGTTAACATCATTAAAACATTTCCTGGTATTGTTCACCTTAGGACCTCTGCTTGTTATGAAAAAGTTCACAGCTGAGCTCAATTCTCTGACTCTTTGTCCCAGGTGCACCAGTTGTCCTCGTGTCAGAACTTCATGTTTGAAGGACTTGGTGGTAGTGACTTTTCCAACACCTTTTCTAGCAGGGCAGGCAGGACTGCAGGGAAGGAGAATAATGAATGGGTTTGAATTCTGAGTGCGTGGTCCAAGTCCTCACATTGAAAACCTACAGTCTCAGCCTTCTTATGGTAATGTGAGTTATGGAAAAATCATCCCTATTTCACACCTGGGGAAACGAAGCACAGGAAGGCTGGATGACCTTGACAATCATGGGAAGAATATCAGAGGCTGGATCAGCTGCCAGACAGAGGTCTGGAGTTCCTGTGGTTTCCTTCTCCCATGCCTCTTGATTAGACCTTTCTGCAAAAGAACTGCATGGATTTGTTCTTGAAGATATCCAGCTAACTTCTAGGTATTTTAAAGTCATTAGGAGTATCTTGGTGAAAAATCAGATTACTTTCTCTGCAATATAGTTTGTTTTCCAGACAACCCTGGGTGTTATAATTTGAATATTTACTTGGGAAGAAAGATAGAGCTTTTGAAGAGAGGAAACTCACTTTAACTTCAGAGATGGAGCTTCAGGGAATTTCTCTTCTAGATGATGCATGATCTTTTTAGATAGACCCATCCCCCACATACTCCTGCAAATTCTTAAACTCTCCTCAAACTTAGGAGAGTCAAAAGATCAATTTTATTTTAAAAAGAGAAGAGGCAAATTTGGAATTTTTCCAATAGTTATCTCCTAACATATGATGGTTTTATCTGGAAAAAGTTACATATTTCTTTGTATTCACTAGGAAATGGGAAGACATTGCTAATGCCAAGAAAATAGCTCTGGCATTACTTAAGAAATTGTAAAATTGCAGCTCCTTCAAAGTTTTATTCATTACTATTTACTGCAGTGTATTTTATGCCCACTTTCAAACACAATTTCATTTGAATGAGTTTCCGATCCTTTTGCAAGCTCCTTTATTCCTTTACCACTTTGGCAACAGGACAGAATGTGTATCTGATCTCCAAAGCTGCTTGACTGCTTAAAGGAGAATGGAACTGAGTGACTCAGCCTTCCTGCTTCCAAGAGTTCCCCACCCTCCTCTTGCCCCAGGGGGCCAATGGGTATTTCCACCTGATCTCACCTCACCTGGACCTGGCCAACCCTAGTGGAGACTGTGCTCAGACAAGACACATTTCACACTGCCATGCTCCCTGTGCAGACAGAGCTGAACCTGGATAATAAATTCCCCTCCCTTTTCCACTTTTGCCTTGTTTTTTATGATGCTGCCTTGGGCAAGGCAGCTCAACACTTGTTGGCTGCTGCTGCACCTCACTCGTGCCTTTGCTGGGTTTGCATTCCAGTTCAATATTTTATATAGGGTGTTCCTCCAGGCTATTCCAACAATGATACCATAACAGGAACTGATTAAAGGGAAAATCCAGCTTCAAGGATGGGAAATTCAGCAGGTTCCAGCCTGCAGGGGTTCCTTGCAGTCTTGTCACTTGGATGATGCTCCTGACAGGAGCACACATGTCCTCTGCCTGTTATCACCATAAATGCTGCAAATCCTAGGGCATTTCTATATTCTAACATCCTGGAACTGCTTTCTGCTCCCTCCTCGACCAAGCAGGGGAACTCTGAACCCTGGCTGCAGTCACCACTTCTCTTCACAGAGCCAGAGAGGAGAAGGCAGAATGCAAGGCTCCTAGGAGGGTTAGGGTTATCAGACACTGGACACCTGGAGGGCTCAGACTGTACCTGTGTATCTCTCCTGCTCCTTCCACTGCTGTTACTACAGAGAGACAATAGATGGTCACAGATGAAGAGAGGGGACTGGCCATGTCATACAGCTTTTACCTGTTTGCAGAGCTTTGTAGCAGGAAAGGATGCATTAGGGCCCAGTTTATCTCTTTAACAAGGATTTATACATAAGGGATTTCTTTGGAAACATACTTTTATCCATGTAAACTATGTGCTTTATTTAGCCACCAGAGTTTCTTCCAAACTTGCTCATCAACCCCTCTGGAAATAGCTGGTTTTTAAAGAAGTGATAGAGAGTAAGTGGAAGAACAGTGAAATGCTCCCATCAAGCCAAAGTTACCTGCCTGCCTTGGCCCCAGGTCATACCAGGCCCCACATGGAAATGATAAACTTAATTAACCCAAAGCTGCCAGTGGAATGTGTAAGTCTCACACTGATTTCCAGGCAACAAACAGACACATCAAAGGGACTTTGTTATATAATGGGAGCCTGTGACATGTTCAAACCATC